TATTGTCTTGGAAGGAGCATATACACAACTTTATATAGAATTACAGAGCTAATTTACAGGGTGATAAAATAGGAAACTAACTTTTCCTAAAAAACTAATTTCTATATCAGTGGGATTCTCCAATTAATATCCCATGATTCTAGGAAATCAAGTTTCCTAAACTGATGGACCTAAAATTATGGAGAATCAATCAGAGAGTCAATCTTCTACTTTCCAACAAAATGCATGAAAGTGATAAACAAGGGAGTACAATCCAAGGAAGGACCACCAAAAACTAACAGTTTTCTGCATATAGACTGATTCTAAAGAAGACAAGAACAAGAGCTGGAGAAAACAATGATGGAAGCTTAACCATCAATTACCCCCTAATCATTATATGATCTAAATATTCTATACAATTGCTAAAATGACCCTTGTTACGGGTAGGCAAGTTATTTAGATACATATGAAAGGTTTTTTATTGAGTGGCAATACCACAACAAATGCATGAAAGTGATAAACAAGGAAATACAATCCAAGGAAGGACTACCAAAAACTAAGTTTTCTGCATATAGTATTCTAAAGAATACAAGAGGACAAGAGATGGAGAAAAAAACAATGATCGAAGCTTAACCATCAACTATCCCCTATTCTTATTATATGATCTAAATATTCTCAAATTCCCCTAGGAGTGGCTAAACAGAAATACACAAAAAGAGATTTGCAAATAAGAAAATAATACTATATGACATGAAGTTACACTAAAAATATAAAATCATCATCTATCAGCCTTATTCTCTTCACACTCCCCCTTGAACAGATGTAGCGACAACATCATTTTGCCAACACGAAGATCATGATGCAAATGAGTCATGGCCTTGATGAAGATATCTGCAACTTGAATATCAGTAACTATGTGAGTAGAGTAAGAATTTGGACATATAAAGATCATGTATGAAGTACAGTCCACACTAATATGCTTTGTACGCTTATGGAAGATTGGATGTTAAGTAATCTAAATGTTACTCATCTTATTGGCATATAATGGTTTAGGAGATATATTAGTGACATTAAGATCAGTAAACAGACCTCCAAGCCAAATAATTAAACTATAAGCTGAATGCATTGCCCTATACTCGGCTTTCAAGTTAACATACCTTGATTTGCACTCCCATTATTATTAAATTTACATACATACATAAAATTAAGTTACATGTTATTTTCAAGTTTATATATATATATATATATATATATATATCACCTATTGGTTTGGCTAGTCTTACTAGGACTAGGAAAGACAGAAATTACAGAATTGCCAGACTAATCAAATCAAACTACAGGTCAGACTCCACAAACATATAAAATAACCAAAACACTCCTACCATCTAAACATTCAAAAATACATAAAAAATCAAAAATTTTGATATTTAACTCTTTGTTTCCTACGTCAGGTATTGAATGGTTAAACCAATCTAAGAAAAGAATATTACACATCACTATGTACCCACGAAAGTACAACAAATCAATTAAAGCATTTAAAGTGGAAAATAAAATTGTGAAAGTTTCAAGATATATTAGAAAGGATGAGCCTACACAATCATGTACTCCATCAAAGTAGCAGATTTCTCATTAACTGTTTTTTTGTCCTCCATATTCATAGTACCCCGAGATGAAGGCCTCCTACAACATGAAGACAAATAAATGGAACAGTTAGCATATAATGCCTTTACCTGGTATAAAGCTCAGAGTACATCATGAAGCAATATCAGAATCAGCTATCTAAATTCCTTTTTGATCAAAATGTAACAACCACGTAAAGGATAACTTTTTTCATATATAAAGGATTCCTCTTTGTGTTTAAACATACTAGTATAATTGCGAAAACCTAGTAAGAACCAAGGAATGCATTGAGTGTTATTGCCATAATTGAAGAAAAGAATTGTGGATGAAAAAGATAATGCCATAAAAAGAAAGTAAAATATGCTAGTAACATTAAGATATCCATGCAAGCAATAACCAATAAGATGCAAGGAAAGACTTATTTTCTGGACAAGACATGAATGTGATATTACCACTAACTTAGCTGTGGTATGTAACGTAGCATGTACGAGGCCACATCCTTACATTAAGGAAATCTTCCTGTTTTCTTACTTTGTTTTTGTTTTCTTTAAATCTTTTTTCTTTTTTGGAAGATAAATAAAGAAGAAAATTTATTAGAGAACAACCAGCAGAAAATACAGGAAGGGACAAGGCATCACCCAAGAAACTCAAAATAAACCAACCCAACCCAACTTCCAGGCAAACCCTCAAACAAAACAAAAGGCACTAAACTCAAAAACCTGCCACAAACAGACCTGAATCAAAGCCAGAACCCCTACTTATAGCTTATCTCCCCTCTTTCCAAAAACCAAACAATCAGACACCCAACCCAAAACCCTTCCCAACAGCAGAGCTCACACCCTTCCTTCAAGATCTTCATCAGTAGGAATCAGAACCTCTTTTTCCTCTTCGTAGTTTTTCTTATCTTCTTTGCCCTTTTATTTATACCAACTCCAAAAAGGTCACCCCTTAGTCTAGCAAAAATCATTGAAACTGTCATATTTCGGCTTTGCCCCCCCCCCATTATCATTAATCCTTTCCAACTCTATGACTGTGTTCTTCTCAAATACTTGTTCCACTGTCACACCCTCTTCATTCTCCACTTCAAAGGCAGAACCGCAAGCCTTAGAAGATGGATAATCCATCCCATTCCTCAATGTAACTCCATCCGTCGTTTCTTCCTACAAAAAATAGACCCCAAATTTTACTTACCTCCACCTCTTTGTTGATGACCATCTCCAAGTCAGCTTTTTTTTCCAATTTCATGTGTTTCATCCATCAGAATCTCACCTTCCTCGCCTTCCGCTTCCTCTTCACAATCTTTCTCAAGAGGTTTTGTTCTGTAGGCTCTTTTTCTCTGGTAAATCTTTGTTTGCTTTGCTCCAAACTCATTTATTTCCTCCCTGTCATTTGCTTTTATGTCAGGTGACTGGTCCCCACCCACCTCCTTTGCCGCATTCTCCTTAGAACAGTTCCTCCTCCTGAACATCAATTGTGATAACTCCAGTTATATCATTCTCCAAGTTCATCTTCTGGACCAGCATCGAAATGGAAAATGATGGACCAACATTATCATCCATCAACCCCCAACCTTTTCCAGACTTTACGCTCGACCCACGTGACCACATACACAATCACATGGACCTCTCTTCCTCCTTCAACCAAGCTCCTGCCCTAGTTCAACCTCCTGATTTTTTACTCTCTTCGTCCAGTTCAACCGTATTAAATTTCTGTTGCACCTTACTACCTCTGGTCCCCACCTTTCATGTGAAGAGGCACCCATCTTTACACTCTCTGCGAAAGTTTTAATACCCACCCTCTATTTTCGAAATGGCTTAAATTATTCTCCTTTTCCAAAGTAAACTCCCCATCTTCACTCGTTCGACCCATTTCATCTTCTTTAGGACCTCGATCCTCCGCAATCTTACCTTTCTCCAATCTCTCTCCTCCACGTGTTCTCCATTCCTCCAAGATTCCATCGTCTTCAACCTTGGAGCAACTATTTCATAGAATCACTTCAACTTCCAAAAGAATCCGAACCTTGAACCAGTGACCATCTACAAGCAAATCCCAAGCTCAAGGAACATCATCTAGTTTTATTCACACTACCCTAAGTCTCACAGCATGGAAATCTTGAAGATTAAGACTGATTGTTAATCTTAAATTGTTCAAATGTACATTGATTTGGTCCAAAATTCAGGCATCTATGACAAATACAAAGACTGTTAAATCAAGCTGAAAGTGAAGAAAAATGTAGAGAGATAAAACACAACACCTATAAGGGAGCTTGAGAGGGGGTTTGGGTTCTTCATTGTAGTCTTTGGTATAATATTATCTAGGGTGGCATTGTTTTTGTTTCATCTTTTAGGTGACTGTAATCACCTTCTTTGTATCTTCATTTTTCTTCTCTCAATAAATTTTACTTTACTACAAAAAAAATATTGTGTTTAACCAAAAACAAAACAGGCTGATCATTTTCTTAAAGTAAACAATCAAAAGAAAAAAAAAAGGTAACATAATAGGTAAAACTTTTCATCTTAAAAGGAAAAAATGAATAAAGAAATAAAGATGCATAATTTCTCACTTGACTCTTGGTTGAGTATGCTGAAGATTCTAGCACATTGGCATCATGATGATGTTTCTGACTAAAGTAGAAGCCACTCCTAGGGGTGGCAATTTCTCACCCAACCCGTTAAACCCACCCAGTATGCATAATTTCTCACTTGACTCTTGGTTGAGTATGCTGAAGATTCTAGCACATTAAAATCATGATGATGTTTCTGACTAAAGTAGAAGCCACTCCTAGGGGTGGCAATTTCTCACCCAACCCGTTAAACCCACCCAGTATCTAACCTGCCCATTTACTTGGCGGGTTGGAAATGGGTTGATCACCCATTGGGTCAATTTAAATGGGTTGTCTTGGGTTAGGTTATGGATAACCATTGGGTTAACCACTAATGGTACAAGTGTGAACTCCTTAGCCATTTTTCTTTAATATTCTTCATTTGAGTGAAATAATTTATAATAAATGCATTAATTTTCTATTAATCATTAACTAAAATTAGTTTTGACTTGAATCAACATAGTTCACCCAAATTGACATAAATCCAAATCAACCCAACCCGAGTCCAGACCGGTCCAGCTCAGTTCAGCCTGGTTCAAATACGAACAGACCCAATCACCTCGGTTTGATCTGTTTGGGTCAAGTTGTCAACCGGTACAGTATGAACCCAGTCCAATCCAGGTCAGTCCGATACGAACACCCCAACTCTGATCCGGTTAGCCTGGGCTGATTATCTTGACCCGGTTCGAATCGGCCGACTCCATCCAGAACCCTGTGCAACCCAATATAGATTGGTCTGGTCTGACCCAAAACCATACCAGTCCGGACTGCCCACCTTGACCCAATTCGGATTGGTCGGCTCAGTCCCAAACCTTTGCACAACCCGATATGGACCGATTTGAGTCAACCCATCATATGTTGCACTGGTCCGACCAAACCAATCCGAATCCAAACGCTTCAACCACTCTTGATGTGATTAGCTTGAAGATAAATCCAGTTAGATAGTTCAAGTTGGTTTGACCGATTTGAACCTAAGTGGTTCGATAAAACTTGAAACCTAAACATAGTCAAATGGCTCAAGCGATTAACTTCTTTTTATTCTCCTTCTAAAAATAATATGCATGTAATGTGATTTGAACCTTCACCACTTGTGTAAACAATAGCTTCCATGACCACCAAGCTATGACCAACTTATTTGTCAAAAGGGAGTTAGTTTTTACTTTTAAGTACAAAAATATAAGATTAATGGGTTTGGGTTGAACCCAACCCATTTAATTTTATATAACTGGGCCATTAATAGGTTGGCGGGATAGATGGATTAGATTGAAGCTCAAACCAACCAAACCAAACCCAGCATGCCCAATTGCCACTGCTAGCCACTCCAGACTAACCCAATCTAGCCCCTCATGGGCCCAAATGCAGGCCTAGCTAAAACCCAAGCCTAATCCTTGAAAAATTTTAGTCTCAAAGTCCAACTGAGCCATAGTCCAATTAAAACAAACTTGTACAATTCAGCCAAATCTGAGATCAGCCAACTCCAAGAGTGATGTCGTGCTAACTTTGACACCAGATCTAGAGACAAAAAGAAAGTGAAATAGAGTTCCAAACAGAAACAAGAAGTAACAAGGTGTCTCTTCTTTTCTTCCTTTTATCTCTATTCAATCAAATATTCTTGAATATATATCACCAAAAATACAGCAATTATTTCCAAAAGTACACAATATACACATATTTTCTGCTACTCATCCTCAAAACAAAACGAAAAGAAGAATGATACATGTATTATACAAGTTAGCAAACCCAGATTGGGGCTGGATACATAGTCATACTGCCCACCAGACATGTACCATGTATCAAGCAGTCCATACTCCAAGCCAGGCCAACCCATGTTAAATCCCTAGTTTCAGTTGACATATTGACTCATTGAATGCAACCAACATTAAAGATTAAGAGCTTATGCAATTTGATAGTGCAAACATTTGGAATTAGGAGAGCTGACAAACTAAATTGGACCACTTAACCCAATTTCTACTGGGAAAAAAATGTTGGCTCCCCTTATACCATATGAAATAAATGGAGGGAAAATTTTTGGAACATGTCTGGAACTACCAAAACATAGTAATGACATGTAGGATAGTTATTTTCCCAAGAAAGGTACAAAGGTATGGTTTTTGTTGCAAATTTGAACTTCACCATGAGTTTCCATAGCAACACCACCTTGAAGACATTTTGATCCATGGTGATAGAATGTATAATGCGGGTAATCGATGCTTCATTTTGTTATAATTGAACACCAATATGCTTAAATATTAAAGGCACTTCAACAAATCAGCGTGAAATGTAGTCTTAAATAACTCCTTAGGATTATGAAAATCTTTCATCATTTCAATGCCCTTGGTCAATAAAAAGACCTTGACAAGATAAAGCAATGGCTAAAAATACAACATTTATATTCACCAAAAAAATTTGGTATAGTGCAGAACATGTTCATACTTATTCCATTTGTCTGTATCTAAGCTCAGAGAATATATGGTCCATTAAGGTTAATCAAGCAATACAAGAATGATAAGATGTTTATACAGTGCAATTGCAAGAATGGATGAAATGGTAGAAAATTACTTGGGTGTGTCTTTAGAATCTTGTTTCAGACTCTTCCCATTGTCCTCAAATTTCAACATAGACTGAAGCTCTTTTACTTTGTCATGGATCTAAAAGAAACACAGGGTTCGGTAAAAGTGATATAAACAATGGGAAAGCAAGTTTGGACATGAAAGTATCATAAAATGAAAAGAAATACTGAAACAAAGAAGAGTAAAATACCATACACAAGTAAACATCTAAAAATTTGAACAAATGATAATGACCAGCAGCCACAAGTATATGCGCAATTTGGTCAGGGTTAGCCCTACCCAAACCCAAAAAAGTCAGGTTGAGTTAGATCATATTGTAGGTTAGCTTAGAGCTAGGATTGAAAATATGAACCCAATTTAACTTCAGGTTGGGATAGTGTGAGTCCTGGAGCAACCCAAACCTGACATGTCTATTCATATGGGAATACATGGTTCTTGCATCCTGGTTTGGATGTCACAACTAGGGGTGTCAACAATATTCGAATTCGAATTCGAATATTAATTTTCAATATTCGTCAGATATTGAATTTTCTAATTGGATTTGAATTTGGATATTGCCTGATTTGATTCGAATTCGATCCGTTTACACCCCTAGTCACAATCTGGTTTTGGACAATGATATGAGCTTGTTCTTGGTTATGGGATTGGGATTTGATATGGGCCTAGATATGGCCTTGAGTTTGGGTTGGATTTTGGGCTTGGGGTGGATTGTGGAGTGTAGAAGCCCAAATAGAGGTCTAATTAGGAGCTCATTTAGTGCAAGTCTATGAATTGAAGTTCAAATATATGTTCTATTGGTCTGCTCCTGCATTAGGGAGCACCATTAATTACAAGACCTCGATCAAAAGCATAACTCAATTGCATTCTACCAGTCACATAGATACTTTAGATGAAATAAATATTTCTTTAAACCCATAGCTTTAAATAACCATTTTTTTTCCAATCTAACAGCTTTACCTCAGAGATTCCCTTGGTGTGTTTTCTCCAAATGTTAAGCAATTGAGATAGCAATGCCACAGGAAGATCCCTAATCCAACAAAAATCCATATCTTAAGTGAAACCATCAAACGGGAGAATTTATGAATCAAATGGTTAATAGGAAGGTTACAAATTTCATGTTGAATATCATACTATGATGAACAAAACCACAAAGGTAGTAATATCTATTTTCTCATCATAATATCTTTCTTTTTCTCTTTTCTTTTTTATGAACCCAAAGATCAAAAAGAAAAAAAAAAAAAAGAAGAAAATAATTCTTAAAAACATGATTTACTGAATCCTGCCTAAGAAGGAAAATTGTTCACTTTCAGCACAATATAGGCATAAAGCATGCTCTTCTAGGGAAGCAATTATGGCAGAAGTCAGAACTGGAAAGAAAATAATGGCCTTTGGAAAGCAATAGTGATATCTAACTTAAGACTATCTAGGCTTGAAATGGAAAAAGACACCAATGTGATGATAGGATGGATTAAAGATGGAAGAAAAGACCCACATCATGTCATTAGGGATGTTTGGTTGCTGGCCTCATGAATGAAGACTTCGTTCAATTGGGCTCAAAGATTGGCTAAAGTAAGGCTAGGCAACAGGGGCATGCTTTGTCACCTAGTCACCTAGGCAGGTGCCTAGGTGTTGCCTACGCAATTGAATTTTTTAAGTTAAAACCATGAATCCCAGGGTAACTCCCTAGGTTTCATAGCAACTAGCAGCCATCTTTCACTGATAATTACCTATAATTTTCATAAAAAAAGGTATAAACTTAATATTAAAAGTTTAAAACATAGAAAATCAACATATTCATGAGAAAAAAAAGAAAGAAATTTCTGAAAATATAGGGACTGAGACCCTGTTTTTTTCCTATGAAAAGAAGAAAAGAAAGAGTGGAAGAAGAAGAAGAAGAAGAATGTATTGATTGGACTAAACATTATGTCCTTCCTTGCTTATTGGTTCAGGGTTTGAAGACTTCAAGAGTTCAAAACAGCATACACCAACATGTGTTTCGATGGAACCCCAACAAAAAGAAAATAATAAAAATAAACTAGTAACAAAATGAATAATTTAATTTAATAATGATGCCTATTTTATAATTATAATCTCAAAAAATAAAGAATATAATACATTGGAACTTGGAAGTCTTATTGGGGACTGATAGACTTTTCTTTTGAGGCAAGAAAATAGCCTGTGGTTTTATTGAAAATTTCCTACTCCCTGGTTCTGTATAACCCAGATTTAAATACAAGAAGTCACTCAACCAATTCTCCTAAACTCCAGCAACCATCTATCCTATACTTTAGCAATATTCTTAGCCTAGTCAACAGCAACTGACGCAACCAATAGTGAGATATTCCCTCACTCATTTATTTGATTCCTACTCATTTATTTGATTCCTACTCATTTATTTGACTCATTCTTAAGCCTAACAGCTAGCAGATATGCATGGCCACGCGTCCTGCCCTTCATGCAACGTAGACCTGATAACGTGGATTCTTGGCATGGTTCCTTGCTGACCTTCTCCACGTATCATTCCCCCCCCCCCCCTTGAAGTGGAACCTTGTCCTCAAGGTTTAGATTAATGAACTGACTTTTTAACTGCTGCGTATTCTCCCAGGTTGCCTCTTCCCTTGGAAGATTCTTCCATTGCACCAAGCTTTCTTCCACGAAGCCCGACCCTTTTCGAACCCAGCGTGTATCCAGTATAGCCTCTGGTACCGCTATTACCTCACCTTCATCATTCGTTGGTGGTAAGTCAAATCC